ACCACTCACGAGTGGTCTACATAAAAGCAGCATTTTTTACCTAAGGCAGCACAGAGCCCCCCTTGTTATAGGAAGATTAAATCTAGGCCTCTTTGGTTCTGGAGAACTATTTCCACCAGGGAGGTTAGTGACTCTCGTAGGTGGGAGATGGAGCTTTTTAGTCTCTCGATGTCTATATCTATGGCTGTTTTCAAATTATTGTAATGTTTGTTTTGCAACACTAACGATGAGACTCCTGTTCCTGTCCCAGCTAATTCTAAACCTAGGAGAACTGTTAAACTGACAGCTGTTATAGGTTCTCGTTTGACTCTATCTGGGGTCTCAGTCAGATGACTAAGAATATCTTTTTTTGAATGATATAATAGCCTAGGAACCAATTGTACTAGTACACAAATGTCCCCAGTCTGGTTGAGTACCTTTTTGTGTGCACAAGGGGTGAGTCCAGTGGAGCAAGCCCACCATCCATTAGAAGGGGTTACAAGGTATCTTTTTGGACTAGACTGATAGGTTTGGTTGTAAAGGTGTTGGTGAGTGGCCAGAACACTGTCAACACAAATTTCATGTCCAGTCACAGATTGTAGGGTTAGTCTGGCTGTCTCTTTTTGTTGTCATCTACACCAGGTTGGGCTATCAGACTCAGTGAAGTTGTCTAGGTAAGCTATTTCTTCATAGTAAGGGGGCTTGATATCATAACACAACCAGCAGGACTGAGCGAGATCAGGCCTAGAGGCGTTTAGGGCTTTGAAGGTGTAAACTATTAGCCCCCATAGGGGGTCCTGGCTAATTTTCTTGGTGACAGCCTGAGTGGGGAGCTGAGGGGATGTTGGTGGGGTTATTTGAGGGGGCTTGGTGGGTCTAGGAGGAATTAGGGGGTCTAGTGGGACCAGTGTAGAATTTGGCTCTACCGGTTGGGGAGGCCCTGCAACATACGGTTTTATTTTTAGTTTTACAGTGAATAGTAACCCATTGTCATGACCATCTTGATACAGGTGGAGTCCCCATGTTCAGCCCGATTCCCATCTGGTGTATTTTTTTTTTTGATTGGTGAATGAAAGTCTAACTGGGTTACAGAGGAACCTTGAGCATGTACCATTAACAACCTTTAATTTACCGTTACCGCGGTGTGTTTGACGGCCAGTGGGCCCGGGGACTCTTTTTAACGAGATTAAATCATCTTTGACAGGCAGAGTCCATGAGACAGTGTCCGTGGATTTACATCCCCATTCTGCACAATAGAACTTATCAGGACCTCTGCATCTATTTGCTTGAGCTCGTTTGTGTCCTCCCCCTGGACAGACACAGAACGGGGTGACTTGTAAAACGGCTCTCCGGACTGGGTGACTACACCCGGGGGCAGAAGAGGTCGGCATTTTTATCTCACAATCATTGATATTTTGTCTACATTTAGGCTTTTTTTTAATTTTGTTTTTCAGTCTCTAATATCCCATGTTCTTGTTGTTAGCAGGTACAGGTCAAAGTCTATAGCAGGCCACCAGGTCAGCAGCGGTGTCACTTTAAATGAACTGTTAACAATGTCACCTGTGGAGGTACTAATGATAACCCAGGTTAAGTTTAGAGGAGCATGTGGGTTTTGTCCTCCCATTACCGATGTTAAAAGTACAGTTACCATAATTATGACTGACGACGGTGTAGTTTGAGTTTGAGTGGGTTGTCTCGGTCTTTGGACACCTGCCATAATGGGATGAAGTCTTTTAGAACAGTGTGTGGATCTGCGGGGCGGGCGTGAGTGTAATGTATGCATGAGGCAATCCCATCGACTTTGAGAGCGTTGGGCGTGGTTAAAACAATAACATAGGGTCCCTTCCAGTGAGGCTCAAGGTTTTTCTGTCGATATCTTTGGACAAAAACCCAGTCTCCTGGTCGATAACAGTGGGGCTCAGGTGGTGGTCCGGACTCGTACAGGGCTTTTAATTTAGGCCAGACGTCTTTATGAACAAGCTGGAGGCTCTTTAAGGAAAATAACAGTTTTTGATCATCAAATTTAGCAAGTACCACAGATTGAAGGTTAGGGATAATGGGAGGAGGTATCCCAAACATGATCTCAAAAGGGGTTAGTCTCATTTTGTAGGGTGAATTGTGTACCCTATAGAGAGCATAGGGTAGGAGAGTCACCCAGCCACCGCCAGTCTCTAAGGTTAATTTAGTTAAGGTCTCTTTTAGGGTTTTATTTTTTTTTTTTACCTGTCCTGAACTCTGGGGTCTGTATGCACAATGTAATTTTTAATTTGTCCCCAGTATCTGTGTTAAACTTTGACTCACTTTGGAAATGAAGGCGGGTCTATTGTCTGACCCTAACATTACTGGGAAACCATACCTTGGCAAGATGTCTTTTAGCAGCTTTTTGGCCACAACCTGTGCCGTCTCATGTTTGGTGGGGAAGGCCTCTGTCCATCTTGAAAAAGTATCTACAAACACTAGCAGATATTTATAGCCATATCTTTTAGGCTTTACCTTGGTAAAGTCTACTTTTTAATATGTTCCAGGTCGGTTTTTCCTCAGCCTATTGTCTGGGTTGGCTTTGTTGTGGGTAGCATTTGTCAATTGACAGGCTTTACAGGTGGTAACAATACATTTAATTTTGGAGTTGGCATCTCAAATCTTTATCTCTGCATGTCTCAGGAGGTCCTGCATCTTTCGGGTGTCCATGTGGGTGGCTCGGTGTATTTTGGAGAGAACTTGTTCTCCCAGTGTTTTAGGCAGGATGATTTTACAATCAGAGGATTTTTATCATCTGTTGAGGCATTGGGGCATGGGTAATTGTTTTATCTATTTTAAGTCTGCCTCAGTGTACTGAGGTTTTTTTGGTAAAGCAGTGTCCCCTGGATCAGGCAACTGAATGGTCAGTGTCAGATCAGCCTCCAAGGCTGATTTTCGAGCTGTCTGGTTGGCTAAATTATTTTCTCAGGCAATCGGAGTATCACTCTTTTGGTGCCCAGGACAGTGGATAATACCCAATTTTTTTGGTAGCCATAGGGCCGCCAGTAGGGCAAGAATTTTTTCTTTGTTTTTAATAGTCTTTTTTTCAGCTGTCAACAGTCCTCTTTTTCTGTAGACGGCCCCATGTACGTGAGTGG